TATCTTGAGATGATTTCGGGGCTTTTTAGTGTCCCCGCGGCCCGGTCCTCTACCAGGCCTCCACCCCCAGGAAGCAGCCCGTGACAGCTGACTAACACCCAGGTACCTATTTTACTGCTAGGTAACAGGGGCATAGGGTGAAAGAAACTCTGCCCAATGTTTCTCGCCGGCGCCTGGGATCGAACCAAGGACCACAGGATCACAAGTCCAGCGTGCTGTCCGCTCGGCCGACCGGCTCCCATATCCATCCATTCATCCATCCAGTCTCCTCACCATTCATCCATCCTGATGTCCTCTCAAATACAATATTCAAGTGCGATCATCTCTAGCAGGGTGACACTGGTATACTGAAGCATGGTTGCCTGTGCCACCAGAAAGTTGAGGCAAAGGTCGTAAGTCGAGTCACATTTTCCGATGAAATTTACTTCATAACTTGAAAAATTTGTAAGTAGGGGCAGTCGTAAGTTGAAGTACCACTAAATTTTTAAGTTAATATTTTTGGGTGTGTGGAACGGATTAATTCAATTTACATTACCATATTTCTTGTGGAAAATTCGTTTCGGTTTTTAACTGTCTCTGGGAACGGATTAAATTAGAAAACGGAGGTATATTATTTAATCATTCAAGGAAAATGAAATTTCAGTGGAATTATCCACACAAGAAAACAGGAAATCATTGCCAAGTTGCCATTAAATTCAACAGCTAATAATAATGTGAATCATTAAAAACACCAGTCTACTATAAGAATCAATAAAAAGATATTCTCTATGACTGGATCTAATATAATTATTAACAAACTAAAGTCTACCTCCCACTGTCAATAAAAGGGTAGTATAGGAACCAGCGAGAGAATGGCGTCTTTCAAGCCGAGAGGGAGCAGACGTCATTAATTTAACATCAACAAGTCTCGCTTGGAACACACTTGAAGCTCAACAATTATTTCCCTCTAGATGCAGTGTTATGGGAGTTACAAACTCCCATCATCAGCACGATCGTCATCAACAATAAGGGAATTGTTCTGTACCTGATAACCCATTAAATCTAGTCATTCTTAGCCAGTAATGTAGGTAGATAAGGGTTTACCAGTTAGGACACGATGCGAGCCACCCAACAGGGTAAATATTAATAAAACATAATAATCATTTCCCCTGATATAGCAGTCGTATATTGGTTACAATTATTACTGTGTGCTCCATTTGACAGTTGAAATTGAATGGGACGAAGAATTAACAGTACAGTGGTACCTCAGTTTACAAATTTAACCACTGTACTGCGCAGAGTGTCTTAAGGCGCTCTTGAGAGTTGTGCTATTTTATTAATTAGGCTATATTTTAATGTTTTTTTTAATGTTTTCATTACTCTGTGTTTTTAAATGAAAATAGTTGAGTTTCGAAACATTTTGACATTAAATTTACCTGAATATTTATGAAAACAACACGAATATGTCCTTGACAATTGCCCCAAGAAGTTTTTGCCGAAACCAGGTGAGCAGTGAGGTGGTTAATCCGTTCCCAGAGACGGTTCATAAGCCGAATATTCCTAAACTGAAGCGAATTTTCCCATAAGAAATAATGGAAATTGAATTAATCCGTTACAGATTCTCCAAAAATTAACTTCAGAGTAAATTTTATACCTAATTCACCCAAATCTTCAGTATTAAATTACATACTGTATGTACAAGTTATTACTTACCTTTACTGATGATGCTTGTTGGCGTATGGAAGACAGTGAGGAGGGGGGGGGGGAGGTGTTAGTGTTTGCAAGAGGAGTCCGCTTCCATTATAACATCAGGCAGTGATGACTTCTCTGGGGTTCACTCTCTGGCACGTTTTGCCTACATACCACTAGGACCTGCTTGTGGCTCACTGCTTGCTTGTCTTACTAAGAATCTGTCTAAAGACACTTCTTTTCCCTACATTTTAACACTTGTCCGTAGTAAGACATCACATTGTCATTTAAAAGGTCAATGCAATGGCCTGCTACAGCTTTATCTGGGTGAGTTTTTTCAACAAAACTTTACAGTTCTTCCCATACTTCACACATTTTCTTAATGAGGAAGGGACGTCCTCTACTGCCTTTACTCACAACTATTTTCTTAGGTTGAACCTTACCACCAACTTTCTTGGGATCCATAGCAAGATATATAATAATTAATTTTATGTTCAAACACTCAAAAATTAATAAAACACTAAAATTCTTTACAAAGAATTCGGGTGCAATTGTCACTAGGCTGGAGCCACTGGTAAACTGAGGCGTGATCGCAGTGCCACCACGAGCTAGGTTGGCCATACGCATATCAACACACTCGTTTCCTGAAGTAAAGCTCGTAACCCGATTCAAATTTTCCGAAGAAATTAGGCTCGTAACCCGAAAAGTTTGTAAATAGGGGCATTCGTAAGCCAAGGTGTCACTGTAACTACCTGGTACAACACACGACATGTAATACACTAGCATCACCTACAAGGAGTTTAGTTGGTGTAATCTTTTGCATTCATATCTGGTTGACCAGTCCAAAATCTACCATTCAGGTAAGCTGTGTTTATTTAATTTAATTTACTAAACTATGTATTCTTAACATTTGTAGTAAATGTCTACCAATTGATAATTTTGATTAATAGACTAATTAATTAATCCCCCCCATTTGTGAAGGAAATGATTTGTGGGAATTTAATATCATACAGTCCACACCCTATCATCATACAGTCCGGTATCGAAATTAATAAATTAACATAAGAAATTAATATTATAAATAAATTATAAACAATTAAATAAATTAAAATAAGTAAATAAATCAAGTTAATAATGTAAAGCCCAGCACTGCAAATTGGCCATAGCCCAAGAGGCAGCAGCACGAGAAGCCAGCTAGGCCAAAAATTTAAATCCAATGCCAACAAAACGAGGCACACCGGCGAGTAAAAAGACTCCTTAACCCAAGAGGCTGTACTATGGAGGCAACATGAATGGCCAATGGAGTCTTAAAAACACTGAAACATCCCGAAGAACAATATGTCACAATCAGGTACAGAATTAGATGGGGAAGTCAAGTGACTGCTAACAAATACATGACAATAAGCTCCACAGGGACCAAACACACAAGCTAGCTGAACCAATACACACAGACAGGCAAGCAGGCAGGGACATCCTAGGTGCTGGGAAATTGTCTTAGCAAAGGAAACACCAACTGTAGACCAAACCACTCGGTGAGAGAATTGCATATTAGTCACGTAAAACTTACATTGCAGCAGTTTTCACAATTAATGAGAATGTATTAGGCTAATCCAAAAGTAGAATAGTTTGATTTCTCATTTTTCCTTTTCTCCAGCCATGTTGTGCTAATTAATCAACACCAAACACCTTCCCTAGCACCTTTGATCTCACGTTTCGGGAACGGATGGAGGAACTATATGTTGAAGTTAATGATATTTGTTTGATTAAATACATAAGTTGTGGTATAATTATTAGGCAACTTGCACTTGCAATAACCTATTAAAAAAAATTATGACATCATAATCATCTCAATCATCACCAATTAGTGACATTATTATTGGTATCACCATCACCTAATGGTTACCTAGACACAACACTATCATCATCAAGTAGCACTTGACCACATAATTATCCTCACCATTACCTGTTGTATCCTCCCCAACTGTCTCTGCCTTTACCTAACATGGGCACTGTCCTAACTGTTCAGACGTTGAAACTTAGTATGATTATTCTCTTTGGCTTATCTTGTAACCTTACAATGATTTTGGGGTTCAACATCGACCAGGCCTCCTAGTCGGCTTCATCAGAAAATGTCCATATCTTCATAAAAATCCTTGCCAGGTAGTGCAACTCGTCCTCTTAAAAATAACGTCACTTTTCGCTCATATGCGCGCTATGGCCAAATTTGGACATACTTTGAAATGAAGTCGACTCACAAAAGTAACGTTCTGTTCCGTTTTCTATTTGAGTCGTCCGGCGTATGCGCAGAGGTTATGAGAGGACACTTTAAATTAACGTTTTTCATAACGTTTCGAAACTTTATGAGAATTTCCTGCCCACCTAACCTATCAGAGGACCCTTAACTTACTGTTGTTGAAAAAAAAAATCCCAAATTTATTTTCATTTTTTTTTCATTTCCAAATTACGTCCAAATTCGGCCATACGGGCAAACGGCCAAAAAGCGATGTTCTTTTTAAGAGGACAGGTTGGGTAGTAACTACACGATAATTGACCTCACCATTACCAGGATGTAACCACATAATAATTGTCAATACCATCTTGAGGTTATCACGAGATGATTTTGGGGCTTAGCGTCCCCGCGGCCGGGTCCTCGACCAGGCCTCCGTTTTGTTGCACACCCCCCAGGAAGCATCCCATAGCAGCTGTCTAACTCCCAGATACCTATTTACTGCTAGGTAACAGGGGCATCAGGGTGAAAGAAACATTTTGCCCATTTGTCTCCGCCTCCATCAGGAATCAAAACCGGAACCTCAGGACTACGAATCTGAGGCACTGTCCACTCAGCTGTCCGGCACCCCATCCATTACCAGGATGTAGCCATATTATAGTTGGTAATACCATTATCAGGATGTAACTACATAATGGTTGTTAATTCCATTACTAGGATGTAACCATATAATAGTTATCAATACCATTACCAGGATGTAGCCATATAATAGTTGGCAATGCCATTACCAGGATGTAGCCATATAATAGTTGTTAATACCATTACCAGGAGCAAGCACATAACAGTTGTTAATACCATTACCAGGATGTAGCCATATAATTGTTAATACCAATACCAGGATGTAAGCATATAATAGTTATCAATACCATTACCAGGATGTAGCCATATAATAGTTGGAATACCATTACCACTAGGTAACCACATAATAGTTGTCAATACAGGTTAACAGGATGTGGTTACCAGGATATAACCACATAATAACTGTCAATACAATTACTAGGATGTAACTTAACAACACTTGCCACAAAACAACAAATGTTCTCACCGCCATCGCTGGTCTGCAAGCCCTGCGTGACAGCTGGCTGTGAGGCTGCTCGTGACGATACCTGTGCAAGTGAAAATTATTTAAATTACACTTCATACAAAAATCCAAAATAAGCAGAAGCTTCCATAAAAGCTTCTAATATTGACTAACATGTCACAATTTTCTTGAATTTGGTTCAGTAGAACTCGAGCCAATTGGAGGATTATGATCTGGTCAGGCTCATAACTGACATATACTATATACAATACAGAATAGGTATGTACATTATCTAAATAAGAGAGCTGTTGTACAGATGAAAATAAAGCACTAAATGTAATGAAACTCTTCTTTCCAGTGTCCTTGGTGGTTTTTTCAGCACTAGCTAACAAGGACCAACACATGAACCCCCTAACAGACATATAGCCAGATCATCATTACAAGCCCTAACCTAGTCAAATTTCAGGGAGCCAGATTCAAGCCAAAGGGCAGAACCTTGAAGCAGTAAGCCTGATGCCCCACATTGAAATGAAACCAGTTCCAGAATGTCCAGATAGAGAAGGACGAGCCGAGGGAAGTGCTTGTGACTCGGCATCTGACTCCACTGATGGCCTACCTTGACCAACAGCTGTTGATGCACCAGCTCTAATCGAACAAAGAACAAGAACCCCCAAACCAGAGATGGGCCGAAATGGACCAACAAGCCGCAGCCGCCAAAGAGAGAGCCTGCACTATGACATCCTCAGGAAAGAGGAGAGGCCGACAGGAGACCAAGAGCTCACGCCAAATCTAAAGAACTGGCCAACACAGTATGTTGACAGCAAAGACATGGCCTCCACCTCCTTGTGAGTGGGAGCATACAGCTTGAGGAGTGCAGCCAATGCAGCAACAGCAGAGGCCCTATATGTAGCGTTCCCCAGTCGAGAATCCCAACATCCTTAACGAACCAATCAACATGCAGCTCAAGGAGTTCCTGAGAAATGCACAGCGAAATCCAAATGAAAACGGATGCTAAAGTCAACTGCCACAAGCACCACTGACAAAGGGGGAACCTTTTCATGGAGCTGCAAGAGACCTAAAAGAGTAGTCTCATGCAAACAGACTGCTGAGAATGAGCAGAAGCAAACAAGCTGTCCTTGAGAGGTGCAAAAGACAGCCCTCCAGAATACCTGCAGCACAATCTCACATCACTCCAGCGTGCAGGTATAACAATACCTGCATCAAGCCCCAAGCAAGAACAAGTGATTGTCTGCCAGCCAGGAAGACTCTGGAACCTCGTAACCCTTCCAATACAGAGAAGCCCCAAACTCAAAAGATGAAGGGACCATTAACAAGGCATAATCCGGGTCTCATCTCACAGAAGGTACATAAAAAGATCCTCCCAAGCCACTGCAGGAGGGAACTGAGAGAAAGGAAACTTCCAGAAGGATAATCCCAATCAGCCCAAAGGCACACTGAACCAAATCCCTGGAAAAAGGTGGGGAGGAAGGGGAAACCCCACTCAAATCATATGCATACAGGGAGGAAGAATGTGAAAGCCCTTCCACCTGAAAAAGACCCTCCTCGGAGGCAACAAAGAACCATGTATAATCAAAATGGACCCAAGGACCCAAATCCGACTTCCCCTAACCCCAGGAAGCAACAGAAGGTGGTCCCGGGGCAAACTTAAGTCATCTATTTATAAAGCTAGCCAAATTATACAGCATACATAGACGTACATAAAAATACATAAAATTTGTATTCAAAATAATTTGTGCACAAAGAACATAGGACTAATTTACAATTGTGGGGACCAGAGTTGCACATACTAATGAAGCCATTATTACACAAAGCATTTTAGGCAAAATTTAAGATAATTTAGAAAAAATTATATAGAGGTTTGCAGGGGTAAACACAATACTAAAAGAGAAGCAAGCTTGCAAAAAGGAGAAAGTATAAAAAAAAAAGAATACAATAAAAAAGTGATACAGTACTTAATGATGACAGGCAAAGAGTAATATAGTATAACTTAAGTTTAATAAGGCCAACACTTAAAAAATAAACAAGGATCCTAAAGGACATTAAACACTATCAAAGAAATGCAAGAATTAGATGACACTTAAGGAAGAAAGGACATAATTATTAGTAGATAAAAATTTAAGATAAGAGTAACACAAAAATAACATTACAAGGGCAAAATGTGAGTGAAATTAGTCACATGGTATTATTTATATGATATTAATTACATGATGTTAAGTAAATATTTCTTAGGTTTCTCTTTTAAACTGGTTGGGAGACGTACAGCTTTTAATTACATTTGGGAGGTCATTCCATAATTTAGGACCCTTGATTTGCATAACATTTCTGCTTTGGTTGAGTCTCACTCTAGGAATATCAAGGAGATATTTGTTTCTCATGTAGGGACCACGAGTTCTATTACACCCCTCTAGGAAGCACTTAAGGTCAGGATTGGCATTGCAGTTCAGTTTTATAGATATAGAGAATACTTTTGTCTTTTGTCTTTTGCCAGACACAAAACACATTGCCAATGGCCATACAATGTTGAGGATACTGCTACTCATTCAATCAGTGAAGTTAACACTTTCTGCGGATGAGGACTCCTCCCGGCGTCCTGTTTCGCCTACCCGCTCCCGCTAGGTGGACATAGAGTTATGTCCTCTTTTAAAATCTTTGTATAAAATTCAATTTTTATCCGATTTACTTTGGGTTTGTTTCAAACTGCGCGCCATGAGGCTCTCTTTCTCACCAATAGGCTGCATTGTACAATAAGTTCATGAAAGGTTCACAAACATAACAAAAGTAAAAACATTTCGTGTGTGTTTCACTCTCACTGATATGTTCCAGCGTTGTTTTATATTTGGCGCTATTCTATCTTACGCTTTGTTGATCTTTTTTACCTACGGGCTCATAGAACATTCTATTGCGAACACATTGACACAAAAATGAATGACGTACATAGAATAATAATGTCATGAGAGTGAAATAAGTATAAACTTTCAAAGCGCCGTGCGTCGTCCCGTCACCGATACCGGGTAACAATTTCACCACTTCCCACACTCTTGCGGGCAGGCCGCAATCATTATTCTACGCTTATATTCATATCACCGTGTTGGGAATTTCATTGCGAGTCCATTGATACCAAAATTAACGTTGTAGGACAAGTGTGGAGATGATAACAATCCCAAGAGTAAAAACATTGTATTGCTGTTGGGCGCTCACGGTGAGTCATCTTCGTAGTTATTTATTTGGTGCTGGTATCCCTATACGTTTCGTGACTTTTTTTTACTGATGTTCTTCTAGAGAATTTTATTGCGAACACGTTGGTATCAAAATGAAATACGTAGCTCGAGAACTAAGGTCAGGAGAGTAAAAAAGAGTATACAATTTTTGTTTTTACGCTTACGCGGCAAAACGCCGGGAGCACATACGGTTGTTTTTTTACCTTCGCCGGGAATCTGAAAGTGTTAATAAGCAACGTTGGGTTTGGTTAGTACTAGATGAGTGACCGCCTGCGAACACCTAATGCTGTTGGCATTAAATTTTGCAGTCCCTGTGGCGTAGTGGTATGACGCTCGCCTGGTGTTTTGCGAGCACTCTGTCCTGGGTTCGTATCCTGGCCGTGGAGGATTTACTGGGCGTCAATCCTTAACTGTAGCCTCTGTTACCCAACATTAAATGTGTACCTGGGGCCAGATTCACGAAGGTACTTACGAAGGTTTTCCTTCTTAGCTACGAATGTTTTCCTTCTGAGTGCCTTCGTGGCGGCTACGTCCGTATTCAGGTAGCTACACTAAGCGGAAAAACCTTCGTAAGTTTGGTCCGGGATCTAAGTGTGGTTTCGACCACTCGTAGCTTTACGTAAACTGGATATAACTCAATTTTTCTCTACTACATAACACAGGGATTGATTTTAAGATTTTGGAACATAAACAAAAGATTATAAAAATTGAATCTCGTGAAGAGGAGTCCTTCGTGTTAGTTATATATGCATTCTCTGCTTGAAACTTTGAGTAAATATGTCTTTTATGATATTAGAATTAGTTTTATAATAGCAAGATATTATACTCGTAGTTATTAAGTAAATAAACACTGGTGAACATGAAATATGAGAGAAGGTGATGAGCCCTGCCTGATGGGATCATTTACTATCACCAAATGCCCCTGTTCACCTAGTAGTAAGGGTGTACCTTAGCTATACATACCCATTTCTAATTTATTTAGTTTGGTTTTATTTTGAAATTAAATCTGGGTGAGACATAAAATAAAAATATGCTGCACAAATGATGTTAGGTAAGGAGAAGGGTAAAATGTCAAAAACTTTATTCATTGAATACTTAAAGCTATAATTATGACTATATGGACTATTAAAAAAGAGTGGGGGAAGTAGGGGTCCAAGACCTCTTCCTGTTACACAACTTGGGTGTGGAACAAGTAATTATCAAAAGAAAGTACCATGCCGGGAAGTCTATGTAGCAGTAAGGCAGTGAAGTGAGGCAGCTACTTATTTGAGAAATGCTTATTTTATTTACCTTATAAGCTGAGGCAGCTTATTTTATTTGAGGAATACTCAGCTGATTCCTCTACATTTAGCATGGAACAAATTTGTGGCCAAGACCTCTTCCTGTTACACAATTTGGCTGTGTATAACCAAACTAGAAGTGCTCTACAAATCAAGGGACCCAGAATGTGGAATAACCTCCCGAATCATGTCAAAGGCTGTACCTCTCTCAACCAGTTTAAGAGTTAAACCAAGTACTACCTAATTAACTCCATGTAACCTACCTTACCCCCTAAATGTCAACCCATGTCTTGCTATTTTTTAAACAACGCTGTTCACCAACATGTGCAATTGCTGATTTCTGCTATGTTAACCCCTTTTTTTATTTTTTATTCCTTCTTTGAACACAATTTAAACCCAATCCCGATTACTATTAAGTTTTAGTCTAAGTGCTTTTCCCCCCACACCTTGCCCAAAATGCTATGAGTATTAGTGACTTTAGGTATTGTATGTACTAGCTCTGTCTATAAATTCAACATTATGTTTGTAAATCAACTGTATGTACTTTTCCTGAATAAAATTTATTTATTATTATTTATTTATTAATCAGTAAGTATTAAAAGAAGGCGCCAAGCTGGGAAGGCTATGTAGCACCATTGTGTGTAACAATAAACCAAATTTTTTTTAACAAATAATGCACCTGTATGGTAAAACAAATCCTGTCAGCTGTAAAAATATTAATGTAGTTATTTAAATAAAAAATATAATGAAAGAAATATTACTGTTTATTTTTATCCTATCTTTTTGTACTGTACAGTATATCCAAGGAAGTGAAAAATTGAGACATAATGCACTATTTAATGAATGATTAGCATGGATTAGCAGTTCAAAAGAAATATGACTATTACATATCAACATGAGATCTTAATAATCCATGGTTAACATGATTTAATAAGGATAATACAGTATTTGTATTAATACAAACTATAATTTAAAATCTTTATTACTGATTTTTTTTATTAAGAAGATTAGGTATACACAGCAATGTGCTGCTACCCTATTCTATATGGAATATTACACAGTGTAGATAAAAAACTAGCTATAAGTTTATCTAATACTCCCATCTCACAGGATGGTTAGACATACATGGAATCAATTTAGAAAATACCAGCCTCAATACAAAAAACAAATCAACTCTGACTAAACAACTCTTCACAATTTTCACAAGAGGTAAGCACTGAATCATGGAAACATTATATTATAATTACTCTTACCAGTTTCTACAATACTCCTCTCAAACAATGTATTTTTTAACATGTTTAGGTACACACAGCAATGTGCTGCTTCCCTATTCTGTATGAAGGACCACACAGTGTAGATCAGAAACCAGCTACAAGCTCATCCAACATCCTCACCTCACAGGATGGCCAGTCATACATGCAATCAGGAGAACAAAATACTTAATTCTGATCTATTAGCCTCTACTGGCAAAATCTGGGTGCAGCACAAGAATATCTTCCAATATTCCTGAGTGTATGAAGTAATTACAGAGCTCAAAGTACCTCATACCATTTGGTATGAAGTCACTGATAACAGGACAATCACAGATATAGTGTTGGAGAGTATGTTCTCTCAAGTAGGACTGAAAACAAATGTTTTTTCCACAAAGAGGGTTATAAACCCATGGAACCGCCTACCCGCTGAAGCCGTAAATGCCAAATTCCAGCTAAAAAATATCATTAAGACAATTGGCGGGCCCTTTAACAAGCCGCCGGCTTTCTGTCCTCGTCAAGACCACTGGATAGTTAGTGGCCCTTGGGTAAATTCAGTAAATATATACAATAATTGTCAGCACATCTTCCGAGCAACAAGGACAGCTACACAGTACAGTATCTCTTAGAATTACGTAGGTAAACAACAAATGTAACATATTTGTTTACTACAATGTCCGTGCTGCCTGTAGAAGTTGAAAAAACATAGTTTTACTTCAAAATATACTAATTTTATAAGAAAATTCGACGTAAATAGGAGGCAATAGAGCTCCGATAAGCCAGCACTAAATCTTCAATATGAAGAATGTTGCTGTTCTCTGATTGGCCAAACGAAACACAGTAGTGACCTTTATCGGTACGCAGGTGAACCAACAAATATCTTCCTAAGTGGATCTACGTGAATTGCACCTAAGCATCTTCTTAGGAACCTTCGTAGCAAACCCACTTACGAAGAAATACATGGAGCTTCATGAATCTAGGTCCTGGCTGCTAAACAATTTGGCGGGTCATATTTCGGAAAATATAGGATTAAGGACTTACCTGAAACACTGTGTGTGCTAGTGGCCATACAAGAATGCAAGAACTTTTGTATATATAGATAAATAAAATAAAATAAAAATAAAATAAATAAACTTGAGAGTATGTGCAGAGACATGTTCTCTACTCTTTTTTTTTTTTTTTTTTTTTTTTGAGATATATACAAGAGTTGTTACATTCTTGTACAGCCACTAGTACGCGTAGCGTTTCGGGCAAGTCCTTAATCCTATGGTCCCTGGAATACGATCCCTTGCCGCGAAGAATCGGATCGAAGAATCTTGAACATGTTCAAGGATTTCAGTAAAGGAGCACAGTGGTTCCCTAATTTTGTGATGTTTACAGTGATAAAGATGATGAGTACTATACTGTAGATGGTTTCAGTAATGAAGGCAATGTGTAGTGTACAGTACTTGGAGTGGTCTCCATCACCCTAGCAATGCTGGATACCAAAGCTAGTTTGTAATATATAATTATAAAAGTATTATATACTTATAATTATGTTCATTTTAATGGTCCCAGTAGTACAGTCGGGTTTGTTCTCAACTCACAATCAAGAATTCTGGGTTCGAATCCTGTGCAGGACTGAAACAGTTGGGCACATTTCCTATCACCTAAATCTCCTGTTCACCTAGCAGTAAATAAGCACCAAGGAGTTAGTCAGCTTATTGTGGGGTTGCATCCTGGGGAGGGTCAGTAACTCCACCTTTGGAGGAAGGGGGGGGGGGGACCATGACATAAGCCTAACATGTATGAAACACTCTGGCTGCCTGTCCCCCAACATGATGAATTATTAAGGATTAGTAAATAATTTTGTCTATCACCCGTTAAAGAAATCTTGTGTATGCAGCATCTTAACACTATTGCGCGCCCCACGAGCGCACCGCAGACTTTGACGTCATGGGGCCAATGGTGCAGGCGAACCGTGCGGCGATGCTTAAATGTGTATACTCGTTTGAGTTTTCTCACCTTAATTCTCGTGCTACGTCGTTCGTTTTGGCATCATTGTGTTCGCAATTAAATTCCCTGCAAATGTTTATGCATATAATGTCCAAAAGCCTGGTGAGACTCCCCACAGCAAAGCCTAAAGTCGGAAAAGTTACCCATGAGCGCACAAAATCAGTAAAATGTTTATACTAGTTTCAGTTTTCTCACCTTAATTATCGTGCTACGTCGCTCGTTTTGATATCATTGTGTTCGCAATTGAATTCCCTACAGGTGTATATAAATATAATGTACAAAAGCCTGGTGTGCCTCCCCGCAGGAAAGCCTAAAGTTACCCCGTAAACAAGCACCAATTTGTATACTGCAACCTAATGTGTATACTCGTTCAGTTTGATAACATCAATTTTCGTGTTATGTCTTTCATTTTGGTATCAAATTGTTCGCAATAAAAAGGCGCATATTTTAAAACTAGTCCCATAATAATAGAGCAATAACTGGAATTTTAACAAATATTTTAATTCTGGAAGCTCATCACCATAATTATTTACTGTACAGGTATATCTTTCTAGTGTTCTGATATAAATTCTTGTGTTACATCTTTCATTTTGGTATCAAATTGTTTGCGACGTAAAGGCGCGCATTTTAAAACTAGTCCCAACATAATAGCACAATAAATAGAATTTTAACAAATATTTTAAAATTTTGACCAAAAACCTATTTATAATCATATAAGTGTTCAGACATCAAGTTTCATGTTACATCTTTCATTTTGGTATCAAATTGTGCGCATTCTAAAGGCGCTTAATTTGAAACTATCCAGAGGTCGATCGGATAATAAATGAATTTTATATAAATATTTTTGTAGTGGATGCGAGTCCTGTCCAAATCCAGCACTCAGGAGAAAAAAATGGACGGGATCAATGTCCGAAGAGAGCAATAGTGTTAAGGGTTAAATGGATCCATAACCCTATTATCAACATATTTACAAATATAATGTTCAACGTACTACTGAATGTGCCTATTAATAGGAATTTTTGTACAGGACTAGTGATTTGCTGAGTTATTTACCAAAGTTTAGTTTACCTGAGGGCCACTAACACTTGTGGCCTTGATGAGGACAAGAAGCCAACGGCTTCTCAAAGGTCCCTTCCCCCCCACCCATTTGCCTTGAATTATAATAATAATATAATTTAAATTATACCTAAATGTCCATACCAAGGGGCAGACCACCTTAGCCCCAGGACCACCACGCAATAGGTGCACAAGGGTGAAATATAGTCGTAAAGGGGGAACCCATCACGATAGCTGGTAGCTAACAACCTATGTAGCGTCGTCATCAAGGGGTATCACTTCCCCGAACGGTTTTCTCGCAGGAAGGTGGACAACCTGGCCGGAGCCCACAAGTGGGTATGGCAGCAGCTGGAGGGACCCCCATGCCCATTCCTGGCCGGAGCCCACGAGTGGGTATGGCAGCGGCTGGAGGGACCCCCATGCCCATACATCACTACCCTCCCGCTCTGGGGCCTTGTGAGGAGCTTTCGCTTTGTTTTGCATGTTTTGCCTTCAGTTTTAGTTCTTTTTACACCCCTCCATTTGTGTGCTGTGTCTTATATAAAAAAATATACAAAGGAAATTTCCATTGTACTATTCTATTATTATTATCACCTTAAATCTTGTGAGTGTGATATACCAACTATTATTTTATATAGTTTAGTTTAATACTAGGGAAATGTGTGTGCTAAGGGGTACCCACCTATCCCCCATGCCCTCAGGCTACATAAAAACCTTACACCCCTTGAAGTGGAAAGGGGAAAAAGGGGACAACAAAAATTATACAGTACTTACGTATACATTTACGAATATACTTAAGTATATAATTAAGTATATACTTAAGTATATATTTAAATATGTACTTAGATATCTACTTAAATGAAACTTAATTTAACTTACAAGGATCACGAGATTCAATGCGTCATGCCCCTTTGTAGTGTTAAGACTGGGCTAGGAGGTTTGTACCTTGAATGGCTTAGGCTTGGGTGATGGCACCTAGAGTATGTTACGACCGCAAGACTATACATGCAGCTTGGGTCGTTCACGCTTACACGTGTTGGGTTAAACGCACCTTTGAAGACGTCGCCCGGTCACTTCTGGTACAGCCGCAGCTTCCATTTTCTGTGGTCCCGCTCCTTGTTGTTCTAATGGGTTAGGGGCAGCTGTAGCACAGATATTAATATTATTAATAATAATAATATTAATAATAATAATAATAATATTAATAATATTAATAATAATAATAATAATAATAAGTTTTTATTTAAAAAAGGTACAATAGGTTTTTGAGATTACATAAGTTTGGTATGTTTACATTCATGCAAAGCCACTAATGTCCTTAATTTATTTATTTATTTATTTATTTATTTATTTATTTATTTATTTATTTATTTATTTATTTATTTATTTATTTTTTAAGTACATTGGGTTTGTGAGAATACATAGCATAGTATTGACCTTCCCAACCATGTTAAAGACTGTACCTCTCTCAACCAGTTTAAGATAAAAACTAAACACTACCTAATAAATTCCCTGTAATCTACCTCACTCCTCTATTGTCAACCCATGTCTGTTTTTTTTGTTTTTTTTTTTTTTTTTTTTTTTTTTTTTTTTTTTTTTTTTTTTTTTAATCAACACTGTTTGTCAACCTATTGTATTTGTGCTGCTTTTTCAGTCATGTTCCCCCTTTTTTTTATCTTTATTTGTATTTGTTCTCAACATCTTTTATTCTTTATGCTCAATTAGTATTAAGTTCTTGATATTAATGTTTTCTTGCCCGAAACGCATTGCGTAATAGTGGCTTTAGGCATTGTATGTACTAGCTCTATCTATATATCAATCCATTAATGTAACATCACTTGTATGTATATACCTTACCTGAATAAACATCTGAATCTGAATCTGAATCTGAATTTACAATCTTGTAAAGCCACTAGTACGCGCAGCGTTTCGGGCAGTTAGTTTTTTTTAGTTTAGTTCATTTATTATGCACCCCATACCCATCTTGTGGGCGGTAGTGGAAAGGGTTACAGAGGCACATAATGGGCTCAGGGACTGAACCCCACAATTCATTTAGCTAAGCAAGTTACAATCTTGATGAGCTAGTTACAAAATTCAATATAAGTCATCACATCAACAATGGGTTCGAGATCGACCACAAGTACAGGTTCTAAATTAAGCAACTGACATATGTTCTGACAACTGACAGAAACTTGGCTAAATAAAGACTATACCCAACTCTACAACTTAGCTGGTTATAAAGCCATTCATAACTGTAGGCCTAATAAAAAAGGTGGTGGCACAGCTATATATTACCGAGATACATTTATCTGCAACAGTGTTATTAGTGACAGAGATGACTACTGTGAATATACTTTTGCTCAGTTTACAATTAAATCCCTTAAATCCTCTTTGACTATTGGAGCCATCTATAGATTTCCTAATACTAACATAGCTTCTTTCTCAGACAACCTAAGGAATCTTATTATAAACAACAATCTCAACAAAAACCACATCATTCTGGGAGGAGACTTTAATATTGACCTGGGTCAACAAAACTGCTCTCAAGTTGACTATTTCCTTAACAGCATGAACTCCTGTATGCTAATCCCCACTATCACCAAACCTACCTGAGTCACTCAAACATCAGCCACTACCTTGGACCACATATGGACAAACATAACAGCTCCCCTTGTATCTGGTATAATCTACGACAGAACAACTGACCACTATCCTACCTTTCTCATAGCGAACATGGACATAACACCACCAAAAAGCAAGAAACTTTCATTTAGGCTACACAGTGAGTCAGCTTTAGACAATCTTACAGAGGCACTTCACAATATTAACTGGGATTCTGAATTCAATAATACCCATGATATAAATTCATTAGCTAACCTCTTCCTCTCCAAAACTCTAAGCCTCTACAACCTTCATTGTCCCCTTCTTACAAAGCAAGTAACTGATAAAAGATTAAACAATCCATGGCTCACAAGTGGCATTCTCAACTCAATCAACAAGATACATGAATATGAAAAGAAAGTTAGGATTGGCCTAGTTTCAAAGGAAGTAGCTAAAAGGTACTCATCAATGCTTACCAGTATCATAAGAAAGGCAAAACTTGCATATTATGTGAATAGATTCAATGAAGCAAAAGGCAACATGAAAAACACTTGGAAAACTATCTCTAGTATCCTAGGAACTAAACAACACTCACATAACCAAATAAAACTCTACAAGGATGGGGATATACCGTCAACTGATTTAGAAATGGCAAATGAATTTAATAGTTTCTTTTCATCGGTTGGTGCTAATCTTGCCAGTAAAATCCCACAGACTCAGACACATATTAACACATATCTCTCAGGCAGCTATCCAAACTCTCTTCTCCTTTCACCAATCAGCCCGGCAGATGTTGTGTCCATCATACACTCTCTAAAAACCAAGGCAGGGAACACCAGTGAAATTCCGTCCATTGTGTACAAGAGAGCCTCCCATGCCCTTGCCCCACCCATAGCACTACTGTTCAACAAATCTATAGAGTGTCACACCTTCCCTGATATCCTCAAAAAAGCAAGAGTAACGCCAGTCCATAAAGGAGGCAATCCGGCGGACATAAACAATTATAGACCAATATCAAATCTACCCATTCTATCAAAAATATTTGAAACAATTATTTACAAACAGCTCTATTCCTACCTCGTAAAATTCGACATACTCAGCCCCTGCCAGTTTGGCTTCCGGTCCCAAAAGAGTACCAATGATGCAATCATTAGTCTCCTTGACATTATCTACTCAGCCCTTGACAAAAATGAGTTTCCGATTGGACTCTTCATTGACCTAAGAAAAGCCTTTGATACTGTTAATCACAACTACCTCTTACTTAAACTCCAGCATTATGGAATCCGAGGTCTTGCCCTTGACTACATCCGATCCTATCTTAGTGACAGACACCAATATGTAACCATCAATGATACAACTTCTTCCACTCTACCAATTACCGTTGGAGTGCCACAGGGCAGCATCTTAGGACCTCTTCTATTTCTTATATATATAAACGATCTGCCTAATGTCTCTAATATTCTCAAACCTATATTGTTTGCTGACGATACTACCCTTATCTACTCAAACCTCAACCCACATACACTAAATAATGTTGTGAATAATGAATTAAAAAAAGTCCACTTATGGATGTCAACGAACAAACTAACATTAAACATCGAAAAGACTTACTACATCTTATTTGGAAGCAAATCATCAAATGCAATTCAGCTACAGATAGACAACATTGACATCAGTAATAAAAATGATGGCAAGTTTCTTGGCCTATTCCTAGACAAGAGACTCAACTTCAGCACCCACATTCAATACATAACTAAGAAAGTCTCTAAGACAGTTGGTATACTCTCCAAAATCAGATATTATGTTCCTAACTCTGCTCTCCTCTCACTATATTATGCACTAATCTACCCCTATCTTAATTATGGTATCTGTGCATGGGGGTCTACCACTGCAAACCACCTTAAGCCCATCATCACACAGCAAAAATCTGCTATCAGAATAATAACTAACTCTGCTTTCAGACAACACTCAGCTCCCTTGTTTAAATCTCTAAACTTGCTAAATATTAACTCCCTCCACACATTCTCTTGTGTCAACTACATTTACAAAACCCTGTTCTTAAATGCAAACCATGCTCTGAAACTCTCCCTGGACAGATGTAATAGGACCCATTATCACCACACCAGAAATAAATATCTCTTTGATATCCCCAGGGTCAAACTTAATCTGTGTAAACACTCTATGCAAATTAAGGGACCTAGTCTATGGAACTCACTCCCTAGTGAATTGAAAAACTGTAAAACTCTTGCCTTATTTAAAAGCAAAACCAAAAAGTACCTAACTTCATCTATTTAGTTTCCTACACTGAGCTTTAAATTTGCTCTGTACCTAGTGGTACCCAATCTCCTAATTTTTATGTAATATCAAACAACCTTATCATTGTGTTCATTGCTGTCTTCTTTTATGTGCTAGCCATATGCTGTATTGTGACTACCAATTTTGGTCAACTACCATTCAAGCTGTCATTGCAATCAATCTTATATTGTTTCTGCTGTATTGTGCCTACCAATTTGTTGTCAACTACCATTTTAAGCTGTCATTGCAATCAATCATAGCTATCTATGTGCTTTAATATACTGTACCTATAATTTTCTCTCATCTTTTTTTTTTTCATTCCATGTAATCTGTTATCATTTTTTTGTCTATAAATTTTGCAAGTATTTACCTCCTTAAAATTTTCTTAGATTAAGGACCTGCCCGAAACGCTGCGCGTGCTAGTGGCTTTACAAGACTGTAATTACCATAATTGTATCCTCACATTCCTTATGTACATTCTTGTATATGCATAAATAAATAAATAAATAAATAAATGTGGAGAGCTAGTGTCAAAATTTATATGTTTGTCCTGCACACCGCCCCCCATCCAGTGGGCAGCGGTGGATAGGTTACAATCACCTAGCTACAGTTAGCAAACTGGGGATATTTGGCTAAAATTTCTCTTAGCAGATCATTTTGAATGAAATATTGACACATCGCTGGAACATTGGTTATAGAATTGTCTCTAAATCCACGTATCTTTTCGCACTCCATCACATAGTGACGGAGGGTGTGCGAATAATTTTGTTGACACAGTTTACATTTGGTCAGGTCTACATCAACAGATAATGAGAATTCCCAGAGATACTTGTAACCGAGTCTAAGCCGAGCAGTAGTAACATCTAGAAGTCTGCTGATTTTATTGGATGATCCATAGATGTGTGGCTCCTCTTGCATGATAGTATGATGATAGATGGAATTACTGGTGTCAATTTCACTTTGCCTCAGATCTACAGGGCAGGTCCTTAATTTATTTATTTATTTATTTATTTATTTTATTTATTTATATATATACAAGAAGGTACATTGGGTTTGTGAGAATACATTGGATAGTACAGTATTTACATTCTTGTAAAGCCACTAGTACGCGCAGCGTTTCGGGCAGGTCCTTAATCTAGCAGATAA